AGAGAATCAGTAATTAGGAAGGAAAAAAAGGGAAGGAAGGGAAAGAGGTGGGGAGGAAGGGGAAGGGAGGATGGCAGGAAGACAGGAAAGAAAGGGAAAAAGGAAGGAAGAAAAAAGGTAGGAAGGAAAGAGGGAGGAAGAAAGGAAGGAAAAAGGAAGAAGGAAAGTAGGAAGAAAGTAAAGAAGGAAAGAAAGAAGGTAGGAAGGAAGGAAGAAGGAAGGTAGGAAGGAGCATGGAAAAAAGGAAAGAAGGAAGGAAGGGGAGGGATGGAAAAAAGGAAGTAAAGGAGGACAGAAGAATAAAATGTAGGAAAGAAAAATGGAGACAAAGATGTTGTGAAAGTATAAGAGTACACATGTTTGCAAAGGAAAATAAAATTTTGGCAATTATATCAAATTCTCAAGATTTATTTTATCAGATTTTCCCATAGCAGAAAATCAAGGTTAACATTGGATTTGATGAAGAAACAATGGGAATAATAATGTCATCCATACTACAGAAAAACAAAATCAATTTAATTCTTCAAAGGTTCTTCAAAGTAGCATTTATCCTTAATTTAGCTCTTTGTCTCTAGATTACCATTAGTCCTTAGTAAGACAGATATACTCTCCTCCTCCTTCTTTTTCTTCTTCTTCCTTTTTTATCTTTTTCTAATATAACAATCTCCCTTATTGGTGTTACAGCACCATTTTGGCAGTAACCAAAAATTTGAATTAAAAAAAAAAGTGTTTGTAATTTGCCAAAATGCAAAAATCTCAGTGTAGCAGAAACTTCTCATTCCAGGTGGGATTATGAATGAGAGAAGTTTATCAGGTACTCTGCATCAGCTATAGACTCTAAGTATGACCTAAGACCATTGAACACCCCTATTATGTGTCTGAGGAGGCCTGGTGAAGAACTCATGATGGTCAAATGTGATAATCCATCACAAGAAAAAGGAAAAGAATTAACATAGATCTTTCAGTCACCAGCCTTGTCATCCAGCCTGTCACACACACCTGAAAGTATAATGGCGCAACAAGATCCAGGCTACACACCAGAAACATTGAACTACTGACTGTATCAGCACCACTCAGAGAGCGATGGGATTTCTACTACATGAAAGAATGCAAAAGAATATACATAGTAGACCAGCAGCTGGAAAAGTCATTGAAATCTAATACTAGTCCTGAAATAGTTGTATTTTACTTTTTGAGCTTTATAAATTGTTAAAGAAATGGAATCCACCTCTGGGAAATAATGTTTCTTTATGTCTCATCATATCCCATTTTCCCCGAAAGATTAAAACAAATGATTCTATGGCTATAAATCATCTTCATTGTCTTTGAAAAGCCCTCTGAGCTCTATTTTCTATGCTATTTCAGTAGACAAGTCATCCAAAGCATGTAAAGTGGCAGTCACTAGTCTCTAGGAAAGAAAGAAAGAAAGAAAGAAAGAAAGAAAGAAAGAAAGAAAGAAAGAAGAAAGAAAGAAAGAAAGAAAGAAAGAAAGAAAGAAAGAGGGTGGGGTTGGCAAGGAGATTGGAATACATTTAGGACTGAGGCATGACTATAACCTAAGGGATGATACTTGTACTTGGCCCTTGTATTTAATTCTACTGTTCTCTAGCATCACCTTTCATGTCTGTGATGAGCACTGACAATGCAAACATTTACATTGCTTTTCTGGAGAAAAGTGATGCAGCAACCACCTGCCTCCTACCCTCTATATTCTCAGGGATGTGAAGCATGGGAAGAGCTGTTTGCTGATGAACATATTCTACCTAAGTCTCCCAAATATCCATTTTTAATGGGCAAAGAAGATTCTGGAACACATAGAAGAGTGCTTGGGCTATAATGACATTGAATCACAGTAGCAAGTGAGGTAGTTTGGACTGGTCCTCAAAAGACTTGGGTTCAAATCCAGCACTATCCTGACTAGCTGGGTAGCTTGGACTAAAGCCCCTTTATCACTTCAGCTTTTGGTTACCTCATTTACAAAGTTAGGAAGTTGGTCTCTAAAAGTAATTTCTGCTCTAAAATACCTGAAGCAATCGGCTATAAACCTTTTAGTGGCAGGGACTTTTTTTTTTTCCTTTTGTCTTTCTGTCCATGCTTTAAGTCTTTTCCCACTCCAGTCTATTCTCCCCTTGTTAGACAAAGTGATTTTCCTAAAGCGCAGATCTGATCATGTCACCATCTACCCTTATTGAATAACATCCAATGTCTCTCTCCAAGATCTAATTTAAGATCTTCTGTGTGACATTTAACACGCAGCTAGGTGACTCAGTGGGAAGAACTTGGAATTTGGGGCTTGTAATCATCTTCCTGAGTTCAATGTCGGCCTCAGAAACTTACTAGCTGTGTGATCCTGGACAAGTTACTTAACCCTGTTTGCCTCAGTTTCCTCATCTGTAAAATAATCTAGAGAAGAAAATGGCAAATCACTCCAGTATCTTTGCCAAGAAAACCTCAAATGGGATTACAAATGAGTTGAACACAAGGGAAACAACTCAACAAAGACAACGTGACATTTAAAGGCCTTCAGCATCTCACCCTTTTCTACCTTTCCAGCCTTCCACATACTCTATTTTCCATACATATAACACTCCAACTCCAGACTGAGCAGTTCCATTGATTATCCCCAAGCACTTGGAATGCTCTCTTTTTTTTGGTCTCTACTTCCTGGCTTCCAAGATTCACCTTCTGCAATAGGACTTTCCCAGTGTCTTTCCTCTGAGATTCCCTTCCATTTGCACTGTATGTATCTTGCACCCACACAATTACTTGCATGTTTTCTCTGCCATTAGAATGTGGGCCCTTTAAGGGTAAGAACTGCAGTGTTTTTGCCTTTCTCTGTCTCCCCAGTGCTTAGCACAGTACCAAGTGGCACACAGCAAGTGCTTAATAAAGGCTTGTTAATAGACTGTCTATACACAAAGCCAAGCACTTAATAAGCATGTGGTACACTAAATTGGTTAGCATACCAGTATGTGAGTTGTTAGTGCTCCAATGACCTATACTTCTCCATGAGGGGACAAAATCAATAATAACTTCTACTCTTTTAGACAATAGTATAAAAAGATTTAACATTCCATTTTGTTCCCTCTTTTCATTTTCCCATCTAAAACTTTTCCATTCTATAACTATTAAAATTGAAGTTTAGATATTTGAATTCAACATTTATTAAATATTTAGCATATGCAAGGAAGTCAGTCAACTAACATTTATTAAGTATCTAATGTGTGCTAGGCACTGTGCAATGTGGAAATACGAAGAAAGTCAAAGAATTAACCCTGTCCTTAAGAGGCTTGCAGTTTATTGAGAGAGACAAATGAAATCAACTATGTACAAATAAGATTCATACAAGATAAATTAGAGATAATCTTAGAAGAAGACCTTAAGATTAAGGAGGACTGGGAAAGGATTCTTACATAAGGTCATATGTGCTCTGAGACTTGAAGAAAGTCAGAGGAGCTAGGAGGTGAAAATGAGGAAGAACGGTGTTCCAGGTAGGGGGACAGCTATTGAAAATGCTTAGAGTCAGGAGATGAGCTAGACTAGGCACTTCAGATAAAAAAAAATAAAAAGAAAACAGCTCCTACAACTCAAGAATTTTTACATTTTAGCGAGGGCATACAACATTCACACCAGATGATTTAATGTAAGGAAATTTGAAGAGGAAGAGAGTACTTACAACTATGAGGACATCGGGGAAGGTTTGCTGACATGTTAACTGAGCTGAGCTGAGCTGAGCCTTAAAGAAAAATAAAGATTCTGAGATTCAGAAAGGAGGAGGGAGAATATTGCAAGTATGGGGGATGGTTTGTGTGGAAGCAAACAGATAAGAGATAGATTGCCAAACTGTAAAATAGCTAGTAATTCATCCTGGCTGGAACACAGAGTGCTGAATGAGAGTGAAATGAAATGAAGCTTAAGGAACCGAACTGTGGAAGGCTTTCAATGCCAGGTTGAGGAATGCATGTTTTATCCTAAAGGGATTGGGGAGTCACTAAAGGCTTACGAGTCATAGCCAGACTTGTGCCTTAGAAAAATTATTTCAGCAGCTCTTTGTATTGGTTGAAGAAAATAAGGACTGGTGGCAAAGAGATCAGTTAGGAAGCTACTATAACAGCCTAGGTAAGAGGTGATGATTTGCTAAAAGTAGTTAGCTTGTGAGTGAAGAAAAGAGGGCAGTGGCAGTAGAGGTCAAACAAACCAACTTTTGACAAATATTCAAATATGGCAAATGAGCCAAAGGAAAAAGTCAAAGGATCTTCAAGTTTACAAATCTGGGTGACTGGGAAGATAGCACTTCTGTTGAGAAAAATAGGGAAGGTTTTTGGAGATAGGGAAAGTTAAAGAATTATATTTTGGACATGTTAAGTTTGAAATGCCAACAGGAAGTCTGGATGAGATGTCCAGCTCCAGCATGTGAGTGGTGATGTAGGGTGGCAGTTCAGGAGAGACATTAGTGCTTCATATATAGCTTTGGCATTTATCTGTATAGTGATGATAACTGAATCTATAGGACCTGATAAGATCACTAAGAGACTGTAAGGAGAGAAGATAAAAGTGCCCAAGACTAAGTTTTGGGAGATACCTGTGATTATGAGATTGGACCTAGATTATGATCCAATAAAAGAGGCTGAAAAGAAGAGGATAGTCATCTAGGTAGGAGAACAAGGAGAGAGTAATGCTATAAAACATCAAAGAAGGGGAAAAAAATCTGGAAGGAGGAGAAAATCATAATCATCGACAAAACAACAAAGTCAAATTGAATGAGCACAGAGAAAAGGTCACTAGATTGAGCAGTTAATAAATAATAAGCACATTGAAGAAGTAGTGAAATAGGAAGCCAGAATGCAGGGGGCTGAGGAGTGGTTGTTGGAAGAGTATACTACGCATTGACCATCTACAACTGTCTTAAATATACGAACATAGAGTAGTTGGCGTGATCAAGTTAAGTTTTGGAATTTTTTGTTTCTTTGTTTGTTTTGTTTTGTTTGCTTTCTTTTTAGGATGGAGAAGGCCCATTAGTATGTAAAGGCAAAATAGAAGAAGCCTGAGTATAGGGAGAGATGGAAATTGAGAGAATGAACAATGGGACAACATCTTGGCAAAGAAAAAGGTATTACTTCTGAGTCTGAAACAAAGAATGTATGAAGCTATAGAGGTGCTTGATCTGCGGCTATTGTGACATGAAAGTTCACCAAGATTAGCCTCAATCTTCTCAGTAAAGTTTTTTCTTGCTGCAATTATGTTCTGAAAGAGTGAATTGAGGGTGGTATTGGGATTTTGAAGAGAGAGAAGAGGTTGGAACATAAATAAGAAAATCTAATAGGGAAAACATTTTTTTCATTTTTCTTTTAAAGGCTCACCATGCTGTGATGAAAGTCCAATGTAGATTAAATAATATGAATTTGTAGTATGCTGTCACCCTGATTGTAGGATTTCTTTTAAATACATTCATTCAGAATTATGGGAGTATAAACAGTGAAGACAGACCAGGTTTGAACACTGACAGAGTATGAATACCTGTGGGACAAGGGGGCAAGGTGTATTCAAGGGTAGAAAGGAGTATAGTTGAACAGGCAAATATAGGTCGAGGGAAAAATATGAGGCTAGAAATAAGTTATATACTAGAATGACAGGAAGGACTAAATGACTACAGGTCACTTTAAAGACAAAACTTAGGTGAAGAAGTGGGAAAGAGGAACAGATAGAGATAGAAGATTAAAATGAAAGAGCAGAATTTTTTAGTTCAAGATCATGGAGGTAACATAGTTATGGGTAATTTTGAAGTCAAATTTATCACAACCCCTGTGGATTTCCAGGCAAAATAAAAATATAAGCCACAGAATTTAATTTTTTTTAATTTAAATATGGAAATACATGCTAATATACAAGTGGCATTACACCAGCAATATAAGTACTTTATCCTTAATTAACGTATATACTTCTTAGGATATAAAAAATAGCCCAATATCTCAAGGTCATTCAATCAATCTAGGGTCCAATTAGTACCAATTAAAACGATAAATGGAAGGGATGAGAACAACTTTCCAGGCTTGGTTTTCTCAGCCATTCCAAACTGCCGTTTAAAATTTCTCTGTGGAAATTTGAGGGATGGGAGGGGAAATGCTCTTCTCACTCCTGAAAGATATAGTGGAAATGCAGGACCAACTTTGATTTTATATTACTCCCATGAGTGGAGCTGAAGAAAAAAAAAATCTGTACTTCTGCCAAAACTGACAAATAATCAAATTTTTGTTAGTCTGGTGAACAGTGAAACATGTAGTAGTTTTGCCTCACTTCTTGTTTTCTACAAACACCAAATTTCTAATTTGTTCCAGGGTGGAATTTTGCTGTTATGCACCATAAGAAATTGGGTTTCCTGATAGAAATGGTGGATAGCAATTCCCTCACCCCTGACAACTATGATCAGTTTTTCCCCAAATGCACACAAATATCAGTTTTCACCTGTGAAAATACACAAAGTAATAACTGACAGTTTTACTGTGCCCTATACTATAATCCTGGACAAGAGACGAAGGCAAACTAAGGAGGAAGAACATTTTTCCCCTTTCAATAATCTCCAAAGTGGCAGGAGAGAGAGGGAGAAAGGGAGAGAGAGGGAGAGAGAGAGAGAGAGAGAGAGAGAGGAAGAGAGAGAGAGAGAAGAGAGAGAAGGCGGGAGAGAGAGAGAGAGAGGAGAGAGAAGAGAGAGAAGAGAGAGGAGAGGGAGAGAGAGGGAGAGAGAGAGAGAGAGAGAAGAGAGAGAGAGAGAGAGAGAGAGAGAGAGAGTTAGAGTAATGCAGTAGAAAGCTAGTTTCCAAACTGCTTAACCAAAACATTTTCCCATCCCTAGATGGTTTTTCTGTTTCCAATAAGGTACAAATTAAATGTTTAAGCTATGTAAGTCAAGGATATCCAAGATGTACAGAAGCTAGAAATTATAAATCTACAAAGAGCTGGAACTAAATCAGTTGGAATTGCCCATAAATCTGGGAAAGATACAGGGTCAGCAATCCAACAGAGGAAAATGTGAGGTAAGGAAATTTTACTGACTTCTTAGGTACTCTGGTCTCTCTAGGAAGACAAGGAACAAGCTTTAACTCTTTCTGAATACCAAACTCAACCACTTGAGTGTGATTCCCCAGCCTTTTTGTAATGAACAAATAGTCCATGCAATGTCTAGCAAAAATACACTCCTGGTCTAAGATGATTTGTATTTTCCTACCATGTTATATCTTCTTGAGGGCAGAGAGTGTTACAATTTTATCTTTGCTTCCCCAGAATGTAACACAATAGGTACTTAACAAATGAACTAACTTAAATTATTTTTTTTCTTCTTTTTTACCCATTGGCAAAGAGTTGTAACAGATAAAGCATGAGGCCCTCTCCTTGTCAGTGCCTCATTAATTACTTTTTGCATAGTTTATATTTATGGAAGAACATTGTAATTGAGAGGCAGAGTGGCATAGTAGATAGAAAACTGGTCTCAAAACCAAGAAGACCTGGGTTTCCATCCCATCCAACATATATAGGTTGTGTGTCCCTAGATAAATCATTAGACATAAGAGCTTCCTTCCCCAAGTTTTCTGTACCTATGAAATCAAGGGAAAAATCTTTATCCCTTATTTTTTCTTACTAATAGACATAGATAGATATAGATAGATAGATAGATAGATACATACATACATACATACATACATACATACATATACATCTCCCCTCTCTCTCTCTCTCTCTCTCTCTCTCTCTCTCTCTCTCTCTCTCTCTCTCTCTCTCTCTCTCTCTCTCTCTCTCAATGTATATCCAAACCTACCTAGTTTAGCTAGCTCTATACTTTCCATCCCAATGAATATAAGCTTCTGAATACATTCATGGATGTATTTTATCAATTCTCATTTCCATGTAATGCTTCTTTCTTTGCAGCCTCCACCTCTCACTGAAGCTCAAGCTCCCATCCTTGTGACTCTGAGTTCAGACTGATAAGTCTTTTCTTTATCTTACTTGGCCTCAGGAGTACCTTACCATCTCCATGTTCCTGCCCACCCAACCTCATTTCCAACTCTAGTTTATAGAAGAATATTAATAAATATTACCACTAATAATAATATTATCAATGCTATATTACCTTTAATAATATTACCTATATATTACCATTATATGATAATATGATAATATTATTACTATTAATTAAAATAAATACTACCATTTCTATAAATAGCTTGCCAATCTTTTCCCCTGTGCTTCAAATCACTATTGTCTCTGACTTTTAAATCCAAAACATTCCTCCCTATACATCACTACTCTGTATGTATTGTCTTCCTTTATTAGAATGTAAGCTCCTTGAGGACAGGGTGTGTCTTGCTTGGTTGTATTTATATTCCTAGAATTTTATCACAATGCCTAGAATCTTACCAGTATTTAATAAATGCTTTTTTTATTCATTAATTGATTTATTCATTCATCCACCAAACAAAACATAAAAACAATTTTTGTCCTGACTTTCTTTTTTTATCCTAAAAATAATTATCACAGAGAAATATAAAGGACAATAATAATAATGATTTTATGCTTCTATATTTCAACAGATCTGTGATTTCATCAACGTGATGACTCCTTCCACCAGTATATGTTGCAATACATTCCTTCTCATGCTTCATGATTCTTGTTCCAAATATAGTGTTTATTATGTATAGAGCATCTTCCATTACAATGGAGCTTTTCCTATATGTTTTAAATATATTTTATGAATAATTAATACCAGTGAAGAATTTAGGCTGCCCACTCCTCACTTTCACTACATGATCAGCAAGCCTCCTTTTCCAATCATACATATCTCATAAACAGACTGTTTCATCTATCTAAGGACAAGCATAATGAAATACAGAGGGGAACATTACTAGCAGATTGACCACTAACTAGGTGATGGATACTTTGGACTTGGTACCCAGGAAACAGACTTTTAAAATTATGTAAATAAGATTTTTTTTTATTGCTTATAAGAGGAATATAAACCCCTAACTACTTAACAGAATTATATGTAGTAATTTAAGAGATGAGTTAGCTAAAAGTCCTAGGAACACCATGCACCAAACTTTTCCTTCAGGCCTTGCTCTTTCCCTGATTGAGATAAGCACGGTAGGGTTGAGTTTCAGTTTGTCACGCAGCCATTACAATCCAAACTTCCTGGGTAAACAGACAATATTCACGTAAGAATCCAATTCGTTATAATTTGTGCAGGTAGATAACCATGAATGCCGGCAGAGATAAAGTATTTGATTAAAAAAAAAAAGACTCAAATGGCATAAACTTTTTTTTTCTTAATAGGGATATGAGTGATAGCTGAACTGATTCAAAATGAGAAGTGACCCAAAACACCCTACCTTTAGCCTAGTCCTGAAAGTGAACCAATTCTGAACCCCACTTCCTTTCTCACATGTTCAATAATGTTGGTTTAAGGATATTCAGCACATTTTGACTAAAGTATACCATATGTCTTGAAAGTTAACTAAACCCTTTCAATTTTTAAAGGTTAACTTTTCTATTGTTGCCAGATATTTCAGTCCATTCTGCCAAGATAATATATAGCTGGGGTGGAATGGACCCAAATTCTTTTTAACAGCTCATGAGGTTCAAAGATTTCACTGTTTGATAGATATTAGATATATTTTTCAACAATTTGAAGGTATCTTAAAATATGAATATTTGGATCAAGAGTCACAACTAACTCCAAAATGCCAACACTAGGCTTAGAAAAATTTATCTTTTGCCTTCAAAATTATATCTGAATAACAGACATGCCTAAAGACAATTTTCAGGCCAAATTTCCATCTTCTATAAATAGGAATTCTCCCATACAGTTACAGAGAATAGAAATTTGAGCCAACTCTCTACAGGAAGAAAATGGAATGTGTAGCTTTTAGCAACAGTGAACTGAATCTAGCAAACAAGTGCTATGAAATACACCAGAATAAATATCTTTAAAGTATTTTATTTTATAATGAAAACAAGTGTTAAGAAATGTACCAGAATTAGTCATTAGAGTACATTATTTGATATTGCTAATGATCTGAGCAAAGCATAAAGATGAAAATCTAAGTCATTCATCAAAATAAAAGCCATTAGTTATCTTCCATGTTTACCAAATGTATAAATGAAGAACAGTTCCATCTGATGTTATAATAGATAAAATACATTAAGTTAATGAAATTATTGGAACAATGTAACTCAATTTAACCCTAGAAATTTGCCTAAAGGAATGACTATTTAAAATAGTTTACTACAAATGAGAATTAGGAATGCTAAAACTTTTAAAACAAAAAGATTCCCAGTTATACACCCAGAGAACTTGAAATATGGCCAAACTGATTACATTCAATAGTGTCATCTGATTTAATTATATAATGCAGTCTTGACCTTTTCCAAGTTTTAAACATGAATGTAAATCTTAATTCTGGTATTGGTTGCCCACATTTATCTATCAAGTACCCTTTTTAGCCAAACTCTCTGTCAGATTTTGTAGATAGGGACAGCTACATGGTTCAGTGGATAGAGCAGAGCACTGGCCCTGGAGTCAGGAGGACCTGAGTTCAAATCTGAGACACAGATACTTACCAACTGTGTGACCCCTGACAATCACTTAACCATGATTGCTTCCAAAAATATACATCTATATATCCTAACTTTGTCTTAATAGACTAGAACTGACTAATTACTGATGTGGGAATTATTTCTACATCAGTTAGTCATATATAGTTATTATTAGCAATTTATTAGAACATTGATCAAAATCAACATTAAACTAGAAAGAAAAAGACGAGAAAAAAACTTTCGCATTTAATTAGAACAATTTTAGACTGTCCTATTAAATTAGCTATTGATAGCAATGAGAGGCAATGTGGCATTAGGGATAGATGACTCAACTTAGAGGCAGGAAAACCTGAGCTCGAGTCCTGCCTCTGACACATTTTAGCTGCATTACTATAGGGTAGTCCTCCTCCAACCTCCTACTCTACCCCCAACCTATTCCACCAGAGGGTGGAGGCTTCTCCATGCCAATCCTAAGTCACCTTCAATATCTACCTTCTCTATTCCCAGTTATACTGCTACTGAATACCCTTAGATGGGGTAACCCATGCTCACTGGGTTACAAATTTATGCCACAGGACAAATTTATGTTTCAACTGAATCCTCAATACTTCATGGAAATCCTTTTATTGTTTCTTGACAGACTTCATTTTTCACTCTACCAAGTGGCAGTTCACAACTTTCTGTTCTCTCATAAGCCATTTGTATTATCCTCTGCCATCTTGTTAGGGAGAAAAAGAAAGACACACAGAGAAAGAGAGAGAGAGAGAGAGAGAGAAAGAACTGATAAAAAGAAATATAGAATGATTTTACATATATACATATTTGTGTTTAATGGTGGCCATCTCTAGGGTGGAGGGAACAAAGAAAAAAGGAAAAAAAGAAAGTTACGTGATAAGCTTGTTATATAGTTAAAAAGAATAGTAAGTTGCACATAATAGATTTGCAGTTCTATGTGCAATTGTATTATTTTTACTCTATGTTACAAGAATGCTTGTTTTATTTCATAATTTTAAAATTAAATACAATTTAAAAAATAAATTGATATCTACTGAAAAAATAGATAGATGAATAGACAGAATTTCCCTCCTCCAATATCTTTCTATCTACATCCTTCGTTGCTGCAAACATACCAATGTCTCTTCTATTCTTAAAAGAAACTTATTTGACCTTTCTAGTCCATCAAGATATCATCTTACGTTTCTTCTTTCTTTCATTGACAAATTCCCAGGAAATTTCTTTCACTTCTCCATCTCCCACTCACTTTTTTCTCCCTTTGCAATCTCATTTCCAGCTTTGCCCCTCAGCTGAAATTATGCTATTTAATAATATATAATATGTCGATTTCTTAGTTCTTAAATTTAGAAGCTTTTTCTCAGTACTCGTTATCTTGGACTTCTTTGAATTTTTGGACACTTTGAATTTTTTATCACAACATATAGCCCCTCCCCCTAAATACATTCTTTATCCTTGTCTTCTCTGACATTGCACTCTACTGCATCTCATACCCATCTAACTATATATCCAACCCTAATCAATCTCCTGAACTCCAGCCCTACATTATTAACTACATATTCCATAGATCTCTACCTGAACTTACAAAGGCATTTCAAACATAAAAAACACAGAATAGAATATATTATCGTCTCTAAAACCTGCACTGTTCAAATTTCCTTGTTTCCATCGATGGCATCTTTAGTACTTAAGGGTTAGAACCCTGGAGTCATCTTGACTTTTTCCTCTCCTGTATTCTCATATGCAATTACTTGCCAATTTGGTCAATTATACTTTGACAAAATCTCTCTCAAAGAACTCCCCTTCCCCTTTTCCCTATTCACAAAGTCATTTTCCTAGTTCAGTTCCTTATCACTTCAGGCCTATTCTATTGCAGTAGCCTTCCAACAGGTTTTCCTACCTCTAGTTTTTCCTTTTCCCAATCCCTCTATCAAAACCCAGCTCATCACCCATACGAGTGGGAGTTTGGGAAAGGGGTAGAAATACAGCAAAGTTATAGAATACCATCAATGCTTACATACAATGGGGAATCTGCATGCCCTAAGACTGACACAGAAGCTGTGATGGTCTAGCAGGAACTCTGAAATGTAGGCCAATTGTATTATAATCCATATTGATTCAACTATTTGGGTCAACTCCCAGACAATTTTGTGAAATTGATCCTATTAATCTAAGGAACAGACAGAACAGCAGAAGGTCTCAGGTTGGACCTACCTAAAATTGTCAAAATGATCAGGCTAACCCAGAGGACACCAAAGTGAGCAGAGTTACTTTTGGTTTGGTTTTACAGGATACATTTGAACAAATCAGAAATACCAGTAATTCATGTGACAGAAATACTTCATGGCAAATGTCAATGACTGCTAAAGATGGCAAACCTTAATTACATGTGAAAGACACATGAAGTTACATATGAAGACACTAAACACTTTTACTATGGGCCAGTCCTGCATCATAATTATATTGGAAACATCTAAGCATTT